TGCTAGTGCTGGCGTTAGATGCCAATTTTGCACATAATTCACATTAGACAGCCCAGAATTGGGCTGGCTATTGATTCTGCAGGAGAGGGACTTACAAAAAAAATTATTATATCCTAAAGCGCACAACCCAATTTATGAGACGTGTATGAAGTGCTGGATCAAAGCAAGTCCACTCTGCAAACAATGCACAACATAACAAGACTAAGAGAACCTGCACTCAATAAATTTTTTTTTTTTTTTAAATGCTTTTGAATCTGAGCTTTATTGTTAACTTTTTTTGGAGATGGAGTTAGACTTCTGGCAGCTAAGGGGTTAATCTCTGTATATGCCGTGTTTGAAAGTGAAACACTGTACGTACAGACTCCAGGCATCACGACCGCCTCAAATCACTGAAGTGGTTATGGTGCTTGGAGTAGCCCTTTAAGATCTATGTTTTGTAGAAAACTCTTCAGATACCTTGCCTTAAATTTGTGCTGTATAATGAATTACCATATGGCACATGTGCATCCAGTTTTCACCCCGTCCCCCTCCCTCCCCCCCTTGGGTCTTGTGCATGCCCCAGGAACAGAACACTGGAGCAAAGTGTCTGAATCAAAGGCACAGAAGTCATGAATTTATAAAAAGGCCCCTTTAACATACAATCTTACAACAGATGGCCAAACTCAAACGGACAGTCTAGTCTGACTACTCCATATTTATGAGGCTCAGCATAATTCTTCATTAAATTTCCTTCTCCAGGCAGCCTTGCTGTGGAGACCCCTTGTGTGTGACAATTAACACTGATCCTCCTTCAAGCATTACTAAAAGGAAAATTATTCGCTAGAGATGTAGCCTGTATGGTTCACATTAAGTGAAGATCTTTTTTTTTTCTGTACAAATTCTCTGCCCCTTTGTTGTAATTTCTAGAAATTTCACCCTAATGCCCTCTTTCATTTTTTCTTATCACTTTGTTATTGTTACCATTATAGTAGATATATATATATATATATATATATATCAGATATTTTCATAGAAATCAGTAGATTGGTCAAACTGTCATTGCAATCATATTCTTTACATTGAAGCAAAATTTAAAAATTGCCAATGCTTGTTTACCTTAAGTACATCTGATACAAATGTAGCATTTTTCTCAACTGGAAGAATTCCACCAATTTCTAAATAAATTTAAGATGTAAATTAAGAGAACACTTTACATAAAAAAGTGATAATTGTGATTTATTCTGCTTGCTGAAACAGCGCATGCATAAAAATACAATTTTAAATTTTACAAGGCTACTTAAAAATGTCATATGTTAGCAAATATTCATTTGATGATAAGTAATTTGAAATAGCCATTGCAAAATGTAAAACTGTATTTTAGTATGCGCTATTTCCTTACTGTGTAATTACTATTCAAGGGACACTCTAAGCACCAGAACAACTTTAGCTTAAAGGGCCACTCTATTACCCGAATAAAAAAACAGTTTTAGGTAGATATGGCCACAATGAAAACATGCATGCATTTAATTATGCATTTTTGCAATAGGGTTATATCTGTAGATCCCTTCTTTGAAGCCTTTGCAAGCCCTCCTCTTTTAACTCTGCCCAGTCTTTCTATGGATGTCCCATCACAGACTGCCCAATGCAGATGGATGAGAAGTCTTTACAAGGCTGGTGCTCTGAGCCATTGACTGCCACTTGAGTTTAGCTCCACTGAGCTAAACTACCAGGAAGTATCTGAGCAGTTGTCTGATTGACAGCCAAGGGGTGTAACAAGGTTGATTTATAAAACTGCCAATTTCTACCAATTTCTCTTAAAATCTGTACTTTTTGTAAAACGAAATAGAGGATACACTCATTACACATAAAGCACTTCAGCCAGCTAAAATGCTTTAGTGGGCCGGTGTCAATTCAAATTTTTTTGTTGTATAGATCATTTCTCTGAAATGTCTGAGTTAATAAATATTTTGTTTATGAAGCCCTAACCACATCTCCCCTGTCTGTGACATACACCACACACTTCCTGTAAAGAGAAATCTAATGTTTAAACTACCTTCCTTGCACAGTCTATTTCATTTCGAAATCCTCTTTTTTTTTGTCACTCTCTTTTTTATTAAGGCATTTGCAAGGTATACATACATCGAGTTAAAATCAGTGACAAAGTTAAAAGTGTACAAGTTAAAGATAACAATGTGTCTGTTGCATGTTGACAGAGATAATGATAATGTCCTATTGTTGAGCTCATAATCACTTATGAGTAGAGTATGGCTATTTTTTGTCAAGTAGTCCTTCAGTGTGACTATGTGGATATATTTGGTTACAAACTGGTTAGTAACAGGTGAAACAACAAATAAAGAAGACAATTTAATAGAATGTAACTATTGAGGATAAAAGATCAAAGATAAAATTAATCAGCTGCTCCCTGTCAAAGTTCAGATTACTGGGCTCGGCCCTTTGCCATTCCTTGGCACAAAGTCTGGGTCCCAGTCATGTGGTCTACGGGAGGCAGGCAGGCCAGTTTGCTGGTCTGAATGCGTAGGGCTTGGAAAAATGCCAGGGCCTCAGCTGTCGAGGATAACTGGTATCTCGTTTCGTTCTTTTCCACACTCAAGGATCTCGGAGTCGACTATCTGTAAGCAACCCATGGGTTATGGAGTTGGCGAGCTACTGTGCTCATGGAACACCTCCATTGGAGAGTGGACCAGTGCAAGTCCTGGTAAATGGTAAAAGGTGAGTGTGGGTGATTCGAAGGTGTAGGGTGTTTTTCCCCTTAATGCCAACCAGATGCGGCCTTTATCGAGGAGCGTTTGGCATCATGCTGTCACGTGGAGCCGCTGCAGGAGCTTTCAGGGATTTGTTCATATGAAAGCAGCCATCAAAGACAATCTTCTTGGCCTGCATTGCCGGCATCGGGAGGCTACCTGGCGTCTCAGATAATGCAGTAGCACAGGCAGGACCGCATCTGGAATGCCCCTAATCTTTATGTTACCTCTGCAGCTTTGGTCATCAAGAATGTCAGCTCTAAGGGCTAAGGAAGTTTCATTTTTCTGAATTTGTTGCATGGATTCTCTTATTGAAGAGACCTCTTGGATTAAGTCAATAATATCCTCCTCAGTGGCCTGGGTTCTTGCTGTCACTGCTTGGACTTCCACTTTAACAAGGTCGAGGTCAGCTGCAAACAGTTGCTTAATATTTTGTAGCAGGTTGGCAATGTCTTGTTTTGTGGAGGGAGTATAACGGTCCTCTCCAGGGGTCTCTGATGGTGCGTTTGGCCTTTCTAGTGGAACAGGGGCCGTCTCCTCCATTGTGTGTCTGGGCATGGATGTGCAGGCCTCACCTTCTGCCTGGGCAGCCATCTTGTGTGTCACAAGTCGATGAAACATGGTGCTGATATTGCGGTCGTCATTTACTCCAGCCAGAGGTTGTCTCTGGGATCTGCGACCCATGTTGTGTGTGCTCTGGACCTGTGCCGGTCTTTCAGGTGAGTAGTAGAGCAGTTCCTCCAATGACAGGCCCGGCGGCAGCACAGAGGTTTAAGGCTGTTCAGGGGTGTGAAAGGCCTTAATCTGTCGGCGTGGGAATTTGCCTGTTGGAGAGTAAAGCAAAGGCATCTGGTGGTTCCACACCGTGTTAGGGAACGGTATATGATGGGAGGGCGTCGAAATATTGTGCTATAGTTGAGTAATTTAGCAGACTCTCAGGAATGGCGTCCGTTCAGCTCTCTAGCTAAGCTCCGCCCCTCATTTCAAATTTCTTATCTCCTGAGCTGTTAATTGTCTGCTAGAACCCACAGTAGCCTCCTGTGTGTAATTAACATTCCGTTAATAGAACAGAAGATTAAAACAAAAAACCCTGAGATCTGATTGAAAATGAACCAATTTTCTTCATGGAGGCTGTGTAAGTAACATGCAGGAGAGGTGTGGCTACAGCTGCATAAACAGAAATAAAAGTGATTTAATTCCTAAATGGCAGAAAATTGAGCAGTGAGACTGCAGAGGCATGATCTAAACACTAAATCGGCTTCATTCAGCTAAAGTTGTTTTGGTGACTATAGTGTCCCTTTAATAAAGATGTACCAAAGTTGTCAGGGAGGCGTTTTAAGTGAGAGGTTCAGAATACACATTGAAAACAGATTAGATTTAAAGTTAAAGTTCTATTGCATCAAAATTTTCAAATGTATCTTCGTTAAAACAGTTATGCATTCTGTGCACTATTTATCTAAAACTACTACATAATTAATTCCAAATATCAAGGATGAAACAAAATGAATCTATTTGAAGCACTTGTTAATTAACTGAATTCGTTGTGGAGAAACTATTAAAATAGTTTTGCTTAGATATGTTTCCCTATTTGCAATATTTATTTAGACTTTATGTTGTATACACTCATGTGAAACATCAAAAGAATTGGTCAATTAAAATAAAATATAAGCAATTGTTTCTTGAGACATCAAGGCATTGTGGCTAAATTAACAAATTGTAAAAGCGAGTAATTTCTGTCTGACAAATTTAAGAAGAAGAAAAACTCGGCGATAAAGAGGTTACAGTTTTATGAAGAATTACAATATAAAGAACACAGAAATATTAGGTTTTATTATCTAAAGAAAGAATTGCAGACGTTTGATTAAAAATTATTTATTTTTTTAAATGCTAATTTTGGACAGGAATGCTGAACAACATAAATGAATAGGTTACTTCCAAAAATTGCAATTCCTTTAAATTTTCATGAATTCCCTTATATTAAAGCAGTTCAAATTAAATATAGAAAACATTTTTTTTTTTTTTCATGATTGGCATTCTCTGCCAATATAGAATGATGCATAAAATCTGGTAGGCCTCGCCACCTAGTGGCAGCTACCTACCTTTAAAAAAACAAACAAAAAAAACCACAAAAACAAAAATCCAACCCCTATGAATAATGGTTATTCCATACACAATGGGTCTTGGAACAGACAGGGACAGAGGTGTACCCCTGTAAAAATAAATAAATATATGGTTCTCGCTCTGCACCATTCCAATCCCCTTTTATTAGTAAAATTGCATGCTCACACTTTCATTGTCTTACCTAAAATACTCAAAAACTATAAATGAAAAATTAGAAAGAAAAAAAATGACATGCACATACTAGTCTTCATATATAAACACATTCATATTCAGATGTACACACATACACTGATATAGATACACATTAATATACAGAGACACAGACACAAACGCACTAAAATCTCACACATACACGCATATATATATATATATATATATATATATATATATACACACACACACACACTCATAAGTCCATGCACACGCACACGCACACGCACACACTAACAATTTGAATTTTAATAAATAATAAAATAGTGCTAAAACAGTACAGGGTGTGCTAGGGAGCAAAATCAGTGCAGAGATATCCCAGAGCTCTTTTGGTGTCCCGCAGTGCAGGCACCTACAGCATAAGCAAGACCCTGATTGGTAGGTGCCGGCTTTAGCAGAAGTGGGGGCACTGTGCAACCTGGTTGAGCCAGTCACCCAGGTCAAGCCAGCCCCGCTCCCCCTTAGTATGCCTCTGTGTGTGCAATTCCAATGCCCACAAACAACGTGCGCTGAGTCCTATATTCTTATGCAAGGAGAGAGAGGGACTCCAAGCATCAATGGAGAGGGTAGGCCTGAATGCAAAGCTGTACCAGTTCTCCATAAAAAAATTTAAATAAAAGGAGCACTCCAAACACCATATGGACAGTTTTAACCATTTTAGAGAATGTATTGTTTATTAAGCTATATGTCAACATCAAATACACTGATTTTGTATTCTGACTGGATTTTCTGCAGTGTGGGAGCATCTGGCACCTTCTCAGGAACAGATTTTATTCAGATTGCAGCTAAACTGTGCGGTCAGCGTAGCTCGAGGAATTGCGGCCTAGTCCAGGTGACGAGCTCACAGGGCGGGGGGAAATCGGTCGTTTTCATGGCCTGAAGAGGTCTGATCTTTGATATTCTGCTTGTGCACCGTTTCATCCCTCATTGGATCAGTGAGAGTCATCCTGGTCCTCATGGGAGAGGCTTGATTTAATGTTAACCTGCTCCTCAAGCAATCTTCTACTTAGGCGAGCTGGCTACACTGGGTTCAACCAAAATAGCCTCTTCTCCAGCTAGCAGAAGCTTCCCTGTGGGGGTAAGAAGGCAAATAATTCTACTCTGCATTTGATGCTGTATGGGAGTGGTTTTAGCAATGTATAATCGAGACATGAATCCCAACTCACCTCAACTGCCATCGTGTTGGATCCAGGTAGTGTCTAGTCCACTGTTCTCTATCTGGGAGCCGAGATGGAGTGTTTCATCCTGATCACAGTCCACCACCTCTGGAGCCTTTCTATAGTGTGGAACACTGGGAAACCTGACCCAGTACCTGGCGTGGAAGGGTCAGTGGACATTGTGTGCTATTTCCTGTCATAGTCTACACTTAGAGGACTGGAACACAAGAGCACTATTGGGTAGAATTAAACATTCCGTAATTGATCTGACAGCCTGCTCTGTTGGTTCACATTCACCTGATACAGCTATTACACATAGTATTATTCATTTACTCATTCTGATTGTCTCTTACGCTATTGCTGTGTATTGCGTGGCCTATGTTCAATTTTGTCTGCAATACCATTTATGGATATTCTGATTTACTCTTTATGAGCGCAAGAAATAAAAAAAGAAAATGTTATTATTCTTTAGGTTGCTTATCACTCCTAGCTGATGCTAACCATGGTTAGTGATAAAAGGTGAACATTTATTCCATAGTTACTGTAATTTTGTTTCCCAGTTCTTCTCCATGGCAGCATCATACTCCTTTTCCTTCAGGGGTTGCAAGTCTCGCTATTTACAAAAATATGGAACTCGCAGGGTCTTGTGGGTGATGGAATTAATGTTCTATTACTTTGAAAATGCATATATAATAAATAATTTCTCTTTGGTGTGAATAAAAAAAAACTATTTCACTATAATTATTTTGGGTGGTTTAGTTTAATTTGTATAAAATTAACAGTATTTACTAACAAATGAGCTTTTTTGTTAGATTAACCCTTTCCGAAGTGGTCTGCCCCCCCCCCCCAAAAAAAACCCCCAGACAAATAATAAACGTTAAAACTCACCACTGTTTCATCTCTAAGTCAAAGTTCTCCCTCCATCCCGATCCTCCTTGCCTGACATCATTTCCCCTCGCTGGAGTAAAGGGAGTTCAAGGAAGAGCTAAGGGGAGGACAGGACCAACGTAGAGGGAGGGAGCCATGTCGCCATTGGCTCCCTGAAGCCAGCATGCTGTGGTTGCTGTCATTAAATGCCAAGTTTGCACAACATTGATATTAGCCAGCCCAAGGCTTTGTTCGAGGAGGAAATCACATAAGAGGTCATGGTGTTTGGAGTAACTCCTCTTTAAATGCTTCTTTGGAGCATTTGTGGTACTAAACATAAAATAATGTATATCGCACTCACACACAAAAAGGTAGCAGGGTCTCTGGTACCACTCATCAAATCACACCCTAAGCATTGGCAGCAGAGGAGATAATTCAGCAGGAGTAACCCTTAATACAAAAAAGTGACATTACACAAAGATGGGGGTTTCATCATATTGTTATGTTATAAAATGTGGTGCAAAAATGTAAAATGGGAAGAGTCACCAGTGGAATGTGCGTTATCTCCACTCGTTTTCCATGGTGATTGCTAAACTATTAGTAGTTTAGAGGACTTTACAGAGGAGAACACGGATACATTTCTCCTGCTAAGTCTCCAATTTTCTCATCCGATTTGCAGGCAAAGGTTATAATATAAATAAAGGGGTCACATAACTGCCACCCATTCTTTGGGCTGAAGGATGTGGCTTTAATAAGTCTCCATTTCATTCTGTGTGGTGAAAAGTTATAGTAATACCGCACAGGGATCCAGAGATCCACTGCTCCTCTGCACATCTACCGGGCTGTGAACTTAATAATTAATGGACTACAGCTCAGTGCGGTACACAGGCTTCCTGGCAATAAGTCCCATTTTCATAAGCTAAAGTGATAGCAGGATGCAGGTATATAAAACACCTTTCAGTAGGTTATTTGGCCTTTTTTATATTCGACAGACCTACTGTGCATGATGAAATGTAACAAAATTGTATTTCTGCTCCTTCACTAATAGAGTAGAGATATCGATTATATACACTCCCTGGGTGAGAGTTGTATTAACTCACAGTTTACACCATTAGCCTGTAATGTGGCACCTTAATTAATTTTTGTTTTTCTCGTTTAAATTTTTTTTATTGAGTTTTCAGGTAAATATCAACATAACATTTGCTTTTTGCACAAAATACATATAGTGTGTTGCAAGATCAAATCACAAGAAGAAGCAGTAGTACAATGGTTGGCATTAAGGTTTTTAAGACCAAGGTGGTCAGGTAAGAATTCACCTAGCTCGTGAGGCTGTGCAAGGATATACTCCAAGTCACAGTACAGCCAAAGACAAGCAGAAGAGTCGAAGTCAGTAAAACCCAGAGGTCAGAGAAATCAAAGAAACAAGCCAAGGTCAGGAGCCAGGAACAAACTGGAGAACACACGATCTGGATACATAGAAACAGGAACCACAAACATGAACCAGAGTCAATTAACTTACACTGCCTTCAGGGAGAGGTAGTGTCTTATACCTGGCTAATCAGTGTTTATCTACAGGTGGACCATGATTGACAGGAGCAGTCACAGGTTAAGTCCAGCCCCCCAGTGCTGGAGACATGGCAAGGATAAGCTTCAGGCAAAAACAAGAAACAAAGTGGCTCAGAAGCAGGAACACAGGCTTAGAACCATTAAACACCCAGGTTCAAATTCCCTGTTGGGTCCTTCTGGGGCGACCTCGTCTGGATGTCACGGTGAGAACCGTGACATCATGTAGGAAGATGTCTGGGGATTGTTGGGGTCTGTAGCACTGTGCAAGTGGTTTCAGTCCACCCTCTGTCCTCCATGCAAAGCCAGTCAGCTTACTATTGTCAATGTGTTGCATGTCGTTTGTGGAGAATACACGTTTGACTCTAAGCATTTCTTTATTTGGAACATTGTAAGATTTCTGGATTTCCAAGAATATTTATTGACCCGTGTTATCAAACAACCAAGTAATTAGTGTAATTCCCAGATAGCCATGCTCGAAGTGGGATATCTGAGGTATAGTATTGTAGCAAGGATACAGCTAAAAAGTGTTTAAAGACTAATTTAGGTAGTAGCCCATGTGTGCCACGTATTTAAGGATGGACGCATCATAGCTAATGGAGTTCAAGGGGAATCCATAGTAGGTATAATAAGGAGTTGGGATGCAAGAATATCGTTTTCCAAGGAGTACCAGAGAGGAACTCTGATGCATTATGGAGTGCCCCAATTTGGGCAAGGATTGTGACCACATAGTTGGTATACTTGGCTTGCGACCACATTGTATTTGTAAATGTTCTGTACGCCTCTAAATCTAAAGCCCATGATGATGGCGTTGATCCTAGAGGGCTTGCGCTTCAAGATATGAGCATTGAATATATTCTGGAATCTTGTCAGGATTGGTTTTGATAACTCAATAGCATGGAATAGAAATAATATTTGTGGGAGCACTATCATTTTTTTTGTCGCACAGGTATTTTACACAGTTTGAAAATTAATGACAGGCGGTTGCCTTAAAGTGTGTTTTGTTGTAGCCAACTGGATTCCCTGATAAGCTAGAGACTTCTCTTTCTAACCAAATGTATATTGCTCAAAGAGGATTTGTTTAGTTGATGCGAACACATTGACCGGTAGTGCTTGCGTTTTGGAGACATTGTTCTTCTAGTAAGAGACTGTTCCAGCTCTAACAAGTGCGGAATAATTTGTCAGAATTTGTTAAAAGGAGCAAAATGTACTATTTTCTGGTCAGACAGTTTGGTTGGTAGGCTTTGAATACATTTATCTAATTGTACATGTTTGACTAGGAATTCTAATGTGAGAAAAAAAAAAAATAAGTGGTGATCCATAGAGAGGGACACACATACAAGCTAGTAATTCGGGCGCTTTGCGGTGGGTTTGCAGAATTGCTTTCATTAAGTATTAATAATAGAGCCTCACCACCATGTACTGTGGGAACTCGGCAGCGAGATTGTTTGATTTGGGGACTGTGTGCTTGATCCAACAGGAGGCCAACCTCAGTGCGGATGGGTAGGAGCAATTTAACCCCTTAAAGACCAAACTTCTGGAATAAAAGGAAATCATGACATGTCACACAGGGGTTAAGGAAGCTGAACAGGAACGGAGGTATTGCATCTGGTGCGATGTCCTCTGAAACCCTCTGTACTCTAATGCTGGTATGTCGGGAGCGGTCTTCTAGTTTCCCCACCAAGGTGTTGCTAATAAGGCTGTGGCTAAAATGGTAAAATTGGAAGATGATCACACCACAGAATTCATCATCTGTACAAGTTTCTAGCTCCTCTGGTCATGCACCAAAGTCTTTGATTTCCTGGCGGAGATCCTCTAAAATCTCTTTGAAACCTTCTTTCAGGAAGGACTGCAGATGCTGTAACAGTGTCCGTTACTGCTAGTGTCCGTTCAGTAACTGGGAGATCTTCTCCAAGTAGGCTCAGAGTCAATATCGGATCCAGCCTCCGAGTGGCGCACTGGCGAGGTAGAATCACTGCCATCTTGACTAGGCCTCTGCTTCTCTTTACCAGAGTGTAAAGAGTAATGTGCTCTCTGGCTTTTCGGTGGAGCCATCGTTTGTACCATTGAGTAGGGTGTCTTGACAGATATTCTGGGCACACTAGCTGTGAGGGAGCTTTGCGTTTTAGTTGCTTAATGCCAAACTGACAAACTCTGTTTTATTTGTGCATATATTAAACAGGCAGGTTTGCACGGCCATAACAGTTGGTGCAAACTGATCATCAGACCTAGTAGAACAGTTGTGTGGCATTGAAAACATTGCACATTTTTTATTAATGAGAATAAGTAAGATTAAACCTAATGTCTACATATCATAGCAGTGAACATGAAGTATTGTGGCAAGTCATGGGTAACAGTCATAAGGGTGTCTGAGCAAATCAGGTATCCTAAGGAGGTAAAGAACTAGGTGGTCGACTGTGAACTTGTGAGTGAAACCACTGGGGTGTGACCTAAAAGAGTGAAGAGGTCTCTCACTACATCCATATGGAAGTAAAACAATATATAGAATAATGAGAAGACACAGTCTAGTCTTAGCATCCTAATATAGCCTAAACAAGGTATTGGGTCACTATCTGCCCAGACGATACAAGGAAATAGAGGCTAAGCCAGCTAATCTAAGCAGAGAACCGTTATACTATTGTGACCCGAAAGGTCTGCTAGACCTGATAACATGGCCTTGAGGATGCTGCAAAAAAAAAAAAAAAACCCAAACAATTTTTTTTAAAAGCCAGAAATTCAAGAGGAAATAACCGCTCAAATTGACTCACTAGCATATTACCGTACTGCATAGATTATACCCTGTTCCAAATTATGCAAATTCTATTTAAGTGTCACAAAGATTAAATATTTTGTTTTTCAGTTTAACTCATGGATGGCATTGTGTCTCAGGGCTCTTTTGATCACTGAAACCAATCTCAGACACCTGTGAAAGTTAGATTGCCAGGTGAGCCCAATGTAAGGAAAAACTACTAAAGGAGGGTGTTCCATATTATTAAGCAGAGCATCATTTTCATGCAATATGAGGAAGAAAAAGGATCTCGCTGCTGCCGAAAAGAGTGAAATAGTTCAATGCCTGGGACGAGGTATGAAAACATTAGATATTTCACGAAAACTTAAGCGTGATCATCGGACTGTTGAGAGATTTGTGGCTGATTCAGAGAACAGACAGGTTTGTGCAGATAAAGGCACATTTAGGAAGATTTCTGCGAGATCCATGCATCGGATCAAGAGAGCAGCTGCTAAAATACCATTACATAGCAGGAAACAGATATTTGAAGCTGCTGGTGCCTCTGGAGTCCCACGGACATCAAGGTGTAGAGTCCTCCAGAGTCTTGAAACTGTGCATAAACCTTCTATTCGGCCACCACTAACCAATGCTCACAAGCAGAAACTGCTGTATTGGGCAGAAAAATACATGAAGACTAATTTTCAAACAGTCCTGCTCACTGATGAGTGCCGTGCAACCCTGGATGGTCCAGATGGATGGAGTAGTGGATGGTTGGCGGACGGCCACCCTGTTCCAACAAGGCTGCAACGTCAGCAAGGCGATGGTGGAGTCATGTTTTGGGCCGGAATCATGGGAAGAGAGCTGGTCGGCCCCTTTAGGGTCCCCGAAGGTGTAAAGATGACCTTTGCAAAGTATGTGGAGTTTCTGACTGACCACTTTCTTCCCTGGTACAGAAGGAAGAACTATGCTTTCCGTGATCAAATCCTCTTCATGCATGACAATGCACCATCTCATGCTGCAAAGAATACCTCTGCATCAATGACTGCTATGGGGATAAAAGGAGAGAAAGTCATGGTGTGGCCCCCATCCTCCCCTGACCTCAATCATATTGAGAACCTTTGGAGCATCCTCAAGCAAAAGATCTAGGAGGGTGGGAGGCAGTTTACATTCAAACAGCAGCTCTGGGTGGCTATTTTGACATCTCGCAAACAAATTCAAGCAGAAACTGTCCAAAAACTCACAAGTTCAATGGATGCAAGACTTGTGAAGCTGCTATCAAATAAGGGGTCCTATGTTAAAATGTAACATGACCTGTTAAAATGTTATAAGTTTGACTGAAAGTTTTTGATTTCAGTAAATATGCTGCAAACACAACAAATGACAATTTTCAGTTCTTTACAACCTATAAAAGTGTTTTGAAACTTACTGTGCGTAATAATTTGGAACAGTGCATTGTAAGTTTAGGTTTAAAAAAAATATATTGTTATCATTAGGTTTGTTCAATAAAATTTGAATTGTACTCTTAATAGTTGATAACATGAGAATTATGCTGACTTATTTACAGCAATTATTTAGGTAAATGAGAAAATTATCATTTGCATAATAATTTGGAACAGGGTGTATATACTGCACAAATTATACACCAATTGTAGTGATCTTGCCTGGAGGTGGGAGTCTGAAGTGGTGAGTTAAGGCACACCTTTGCAGTTTAACACAAACCGAGGAGAGACTAGAAAGAACTCTCCAAGGTTATGAAACAATGCACTCTGGCTTTGCAGGAAAAGTACTCCCGGATACACATAAGAGACAAGAGAATAGACCAATAGAGTAGTCAGGTACAGTTCCAATGGTCAGGGCAGTTGAAATCAGGCAAATACAGTAAACAGTTCTAAAACGTCAAAGCAGGAGTCAGATGAACTAAACAGTTTCCAAGACAGGTAACAAAACGATCTGAGAAGGAGGAAGTGGCAAGGCAGGACTTATGAATGTAGACAATAAGTTACTTAAATAAGGAACCATGTGCAGGTGTGATGATAGGCTAGTGATGCAGATAACATAGCAAGAGAAATGAACTAGAATTAACAAGAGAAGTAGCAATTAGGTAAGATCACTGACTTAGATGAAGAAGAAGAGCCAGGTTCAATCCCAGCCAGGTCTGGAGAAGTGATGTCCACGCGTGGCAGTCTGCTTGGCACTGTGACACTAAGGTAAATCAAAAAAAATTAAAAGCATTGCTGATGGTGAGATATGTAGATGTAAGTGAGCAATAGGGATGTCCCTGAATAGCACTGGTCATCTGCCCAACTGAGGGAGTCCTGTGTCAGCCAATGACTAGAGTCAGAAAGTCACTGAGAAGAATGAGAACGAGAAGCGGGGCAAGATATGAGTGAAGTGTGGCATCCCTCTAGCCCCAGGCTGTGTTGAAGGCCTGCATTTTGTAGCCAGGAACTCCGGTGGCCACCCAGGAGTCCAAGTTTATGCCCAACGGGAAATGGTAGATCTCAGTGGTACAACAGTATGTCTGCCGGCTCCACGGCCGATGCAATGGGAGTAGCTCCCTCTGGCCCTCAGCCCAGGCAGGCCATTTATGGACAACCAGCCCGGTGTCAGTGGCATCTCAGAACATGCTGCCAGTTGTTCCCAGAAGCCGTCAAATCTAACCTAAGCGTGACGTGCTCATGTCGGGCCTTCACTGTTTGAGTCAGCTCATGTGCATGAAGCAGAGGCACTACTGCCATCTTTGTGCAGTACGTTGCCGTTGTGGTGCACATGTGCAGTGTCAATTGTTGGAAGGCAGCCAAGGTATTTTTGGGGGGAGAAACGCTAGTTATGGTGATCACACTTCTAGCCAAAGGGCCGCTACCTCATTTTTTTGTGCAAATTTGCACTTCCCCATGGGGAAGCATTGGGTTTGCTGAGATAAGATCAAAAATTATGATCGAAGCCAGGGAGGGTGACACAGTAAAGGTGGCTGAAAGTCAAGGAAAAAAAAAATAAAATGTAAAAAAAGTGTAAATATATTTTCTTGTAATATATATACACACTGAACAAAAATTATAAACTCAACACTTGTTTTTGCCCCCATTTTACATGAGCTGAACTCAAACATCTAAGACTTTTTCTATGTACACAAATGGCCTATTTCTCTCAAATATGGTTCACAAATCTGTCTAAATCGGTGTTAGTGAGCTCTCCTTTGCCGATATAATCCATCCACCTCACAGGTGTGGCATATCAAGATGCTGATTAAACAGCATAATTATTGCAACCCATAACCCATTGAGCATGTTTAGGATGCTCTGGATCGGCGAATAAGACAGCGTGTTCCAGTTCCTGCCAATATACAGCAACTTTGAACAGCGATTGTGCAAGAGGAGTGGACCAACATTCCACAGGCCACAATCAACAACCTGATCAACTCTATGCGAAGCAGATGTGTAACACTGCATGAGGCAAATGGTGGTCACACCAGATACTGGTTGGTTTTCAGACCCCCCCCACCCCAGTACAGACCCCCCCCTTTTATTGTGGCCAGCCTAAGGCACACCTGTGCAATAATCATGCTGTCTAATCAGCATCCTGATATGCCGCACCTATGAGGTGGATGGATTAACTCAGCAAAGGAGAAGTGCTCACTAACACAGATTAATCCATTAAAGCCGCAACGGCTGAAGCCCCTGGTATACTCACCTTCCCGGCGCTCCGCTTCGGGAGGACTGCCTGACAGCCCAGGCAGCCCTCCCACGGCAAAAGAAGCCCCCGGGAGCCATGTGATCACTCTTAAAAAGCAATCACATTCCCCCCTATAGCTGGCTGTGGATCTGCCAGCAGGGGGACTGTCTGAAATGTCAGACAGTCCCCCTGCTGGTGGGAAAGTTAAAAATATACACACACATATATATAATTACAAAAATAAAATATTGAAACAAAATGGAATATTACACATCTCACTTATGATTTGTCTCTTTGTATAACATAATTCATTTTGTAACATCTTTACAGCAACAATATTATCCTTGTTCTCTGTGATTGCAAAACTTTGTTTTGCTAATTCATTTTGGGATTGGATTTCTGAAAACTTTAGAACAGAACCTCCCAATTATATTAATTACCATTTTTAGCTTTGAGTCATTACATGGTATATTTGATATATTAACATATATCTATTTACTGGTTATTTGCCTCTATCACAATATTTTTGGGGCATTTTCCATTAGTTAGAAACATTACTCTTCACATTTTGATTATGACTCTTTACATTTAGTATTTGGATATTTATCCTTATACATTTACCATTTTTAACGAATTTATTAAAAGT